GAAGTGATGTAGGGTTTCCTGCCTGACTCTTCCTTACTTTTATCAGATTTCTAACTTGGAAGTTGTGGGAGCGCCATCACTTGAGACTTCCAAGAAGAAATTGGACTCCCATCTGTCAGAAAGAATTGTTACAAGCTTTACACCTGCGTGTTTCCTGTTAATAATTAATCTTTGTTCTTGCCAGACAGACTCCACAATCACAGGCATCTTGATTTACTTTCAAATGTATTTATTTGTTCGTTTGTTTTATTATTTCAAGTGTATTTTTTTATTGCTTTATTCAGACAGCCCGTCCCTAGTGAAATGCCAAGATTAACTCGGTTGATTCTGCCTCCTAACTGACAATAATTCACATTTTTAAAAAGGCTTTTATTGAATGACCAATTCAATCATCTTTGAGAAAACTCCTGAAATTTCTCAGCCAGGAAGCTGGCTGAGAAATTCAGCTTGATTGGAGAAAATAAATTAGATATTTGGAAGGACATTTTTGATTCCCACCGTGGAAGGAAAAAAAAAGATGGACTTAGCAAAGAGAGTTAAATCAATTGATTTGATCAAACAAACAAAAAAAAAAACCCCAAATAATTATTTTTGTCTGGACTTGGAAACCACTTCTGGATTTTGTGCTCGGGGTGGAGGGAAACGAAACTTTGATTTGCAGTTTTACCGATTAGATAGGTTTGCCGTTACAGAAATGGCTAGTTTATGCTATTATGTAAAAGTAAAAAGTTGAGGTTACGCAGTAAGTCAGAAGGGACCTTGAGGTCATAATCTAGTCCAACCCCCTCTGCTCCAGCAGGAGACCCTCACAGAATGACAGAATTAACAGTTGGATGGGATCTTGGAGGCCATCTAGTCCAACCCCCTGCTCCAGCGGGAGACTGTGACAGAAGTGCAGGATTCAAAGGGGCCTTGGAGGTCATCTAGTCCAACCCCCACTCAAGCAGGAGACCCTAATGGAATGACAGAATTAAAAGAGTTGGATGGGGCCTTGGAGGTCATCTAGTCCAACCCCCCTTTTCAACCAGCAGACCCTTACAGCAATAACCCAAAATTTGGAAGGAGGGAGAGGGGCGAGTTTGCCTTAAATCAAGCCTCAAAACCCAAATTTTAAGCTTCCGAACCTCAGCGTTATCCATTTATTTTCCTCCAGCCCTTTTCAAGAAGCCGCGCTGTTGAGTTTTAAACTGGGAGCCAAAAGAAAAAAAAAAGAGTTTTAGATCTAAGGCACTTTTATTTTCTATATATGTCTGCGTGTGTGTGTACTTTTCTTTTCCATTTATTAAAAGCATAGTCCTCTCCATTCACATCTGATATAAGGAAAACACTCCAAACACCCTAAAATATTAAGAACCAGCCACTCTTTAAATTACAAAACGCTGTGATTTATTGACTTGCAACGGCGAAATCAGCATTCAGGTTGCGACGTATGTACGTCATTATTTTAAAATGTTGTGCAAAATCGGGACTTAAATGATCCAAGTCGCGGGCTGTTTCACAACACGACACAACTTGAAACAATGGAACAAGCTTTAAAAATACACTCCAGGCGGTTACCGACAAGCGAAATCTCGCCAACGCAACTGTCCCGGTGTTCACAAATAACAACTACACAAATGTTTGTCCTGTTGGAAGAACTCGATTTGGAGGCTTCAGGCTGAAACCTTGTGGTGACTGAAGGCTTTGAAGTTGGACTAACAAGTCGATGTTCTCCTGCTAGATGCCAATTCCCATCATCCTCAGCCAGCTTAAGATTGCTACCGGTATATTGTTTACTTAATTTTTACCAATTTGAACCTTTTCATCAAGAAAATCTTGGTGTCGGGATTCCTGCAGTTACCCCCAATTAAATCATGAGTCTTGAGCCAAACTTCCAAAACTTCGAAAGAATTTATTGGGAGTTAACATGTCCGGCACTGCCTGGGTGCAGCCGAGACCCATAATTCACTGTCACCTATTGCGGCTTTGCTCCGCATTAGGAGGGCTTCTCATTGAGTCCAATGCA